GGAAAGAGTATTCTTTGGAGACAGATTATTCCGAAAAGGTCAAAGACAGAGGTTTCTGTCACTTCCTTCAGAAGCAGCAGTTACAGGCTGCAGTCAGGAGCCAGATACTGAGGTTTTCTGAATCACAGGTCTGGGATTTCATTTATTTCAGTTCAGATAGGAAGAAGTGAGCATGAACTATACTGAAGTTTCTTCACCATAACATTCATCACAATTCATTGTTTTGGCTTGACTGCTTGTGCAATGGTAGGTCTGATCCCTTCACTGCAAGTATTGTTCTAAAGAAAAATGAGTCTCCAGAAGTGACAGCAGGATGAGGAGAGAGAAGGAGGATGAAGGCAGTACAGGAAGGCCACATGCTGGACCGTCTGCCTCCATTCCACACCATGTGATGTCTCATGCTGTGTAGGTCACCCAAATGGATACAAGAGCTCTTTATCTAAGCAAGCACTGTCTAGCACTCCTGAAGTCAGTTGAATGGCTTCCTCACTCACTTACTTCAGCAAAAGGTCAAAAGTGTGAGTTCTTGCAGGAGGAGAGTAGTAATGCTGGCCTTTTGGGAGAAGGGGTGTGATGACTGACTGACTCAAGCTTTTCTGACTTTTTTTTTTCAGGAGCTTGCTGAGCCAGAAAGATGCGTGAGTATACGGAAAAGAAGGAAACATGTGGGACCATCTGTCTCAAGTACCTGCTCTTCATCTTCAACTTCTTTTTCTGGGTAAAAAAACTTAAGATTATTTCAGAGGCACTGACATGGCACTGCAGTTTTGGTGTCAGGGATGCAGAAATCTTGGGCTTGATGAAGTCTTTGGCAAAAAGCACTGACATTAGTAGCACACAGATTTTTGTCCTGTGGGGTGAAATCCCATCCCTTGGGCTTGCCTGCCCAGGCAGCAGAAGTTATGGTTTGACACTGTAGTCTCAGGCTGTTTCTAGGTGATGTTACCAAGTATAGAAAATAAGAAGGAGCCTGAAAACATGTTTTGTTTTTCTCACCTGGCTTGCTTTTTCAGGGAGCCTGAAGACTCCGCTATCTCTACTCTATTACTCCTCTCAAAATGGCAGAGGGAGTCCTGGCAGTGGACTGGAACAGCTAGAGCAAGGATAATGAAAACCTTCTTGCATCTGTGTCCACACTAGAGCTTCCTAGAGTCATGCTTTCTACCAGAAAGTTACTGATGCTGAAGGATTGTTTTTTCCTCTGCTGCCTGGCACAGAGCATTGGAGTGTTCAAGTCAGACCTTTAAGGAAAATTGTTTGAGCTTACTAGAAGCTGCATAAAAGCCTCCAGAAACACAAGGCTTGCAAAGAGAGAAGGGAATGCTAGGGCGTCTGGTTGCCTTCTCCATGTTCATTTGCTGCAAGGCTTAGAGTTTAACCAGCCAGACTATTTAGCTCCTTGACTGCTTTCTCCCCAGACGTATAGTCTAGGAAGGAGACATGGTAGTCATTTATTGGTAGTATTGTTCCCTGACAAACAGTGGAAAGTTTGCTGCTGTAAAGCTGTTTTCTTCCTGTCTGCTGCTAGGCAACAGCCCAATAGATTTGGCATTTTTTCATATTTGCCCTGATAACAGTATGGCTACGTTTGGGAAGGCTTTGGTCCAAGTGTGGATTGTTGTGCACAGGTAGATGCTCCAGATAGCTTGCATTTCAAGCTGCCTGGGAAGCTAAACTGGCCGACTTGAAGCCCAGCTCCTCCCAGGCTTACTCGTGTCCCAGTGGGACCTCTGGGAGTCCTTCCTTTAATGTAGATCATCTTTGGCTCAGCTTACAGAGCTGAGGCACCTCCTGGTATCCCAGTCCAGTTGCTCCAGGAGGTGAGGAAGTTCACACATCAGATGCCCTTCATTTGCTTGCTTCTCTCTCTACCCAGCTGGCTGGCGGGGCTGTGATGGCAGTGGGCACTTGGACCCTAGCTGAGAAGAGTGACTACATCAGCCTCCTCTCCTCCAGTACATATTCAGCAACTGCTTATATTCTGGTGGTGGCTGGGGTGGTTGTTATGGTTACTGGCATCCTTGGTTAGAGCGTCGGAATTTGCTAAGAGTGGTAAGTTTGGCTTGGTTGTTTGGGGGAGGATTCACCCCATTTTCTCTTGAACCATACTGGGAGGGAGGGAAATATCTTGGTTGTGCTCTGCACCAACTTTGTTTGTAGTGGAGCAAATACCACTAAGGCCTCCAGCTGCTAACAGTAGTGCTGCCCTTGTTGTAGGGGGCAGGTTCTACTGCAGAGCATTTCCTTTCATCCACCCAAAGAATGTGCTTACCACTGCATGGTTCACAAGTACAAAGTATAGTTGTAATACCTATACCTCATGTAAGAATGTCTATTTGAAACTATTCAAATCAAAATCTCATGGCTTGTGTCTTTTCCTTCTTCCCTGCCCATCCCATATTCTCTTCCGGGAAGTGGGAAGAGAGAGGGAAATAGGAGAGACCTGTAACAAAACTGGCTTTTAATGACAGTAGGTTCAAGCCAAATTACCATGCTTTTCCACCTGGTTGTCAAAAATCAGAACATTTCCAATTAATATTTTCTTTATTTGCAAAAAAATTACTTTGGTTTTGCTTCCACAAAAAAACCCACACTGGTCTGATAATCTGCTGCTGCTTTTATGCCTTTCCTTGTGTTACTTCCTGAGCTTCCTGCTCACCCACCACACTGATGTTTTTGACCAGCCCTAGGGTTTCTGTTCTGCTTCCTCCCTCTCAAATACCCTTTCAGTCTGGAGTGCAGCAGTCCCTTTTAGTATCTGGGCTACAGTGGTGAGTGCAGTGACTGAAATAACAATCAGTGGCTCTTCGCTTTCACAGTTGCAGAAAAGGATACTTCAGCAACTTACCACCAGAGATGGTAAACCAAAGGATTTCCTTTGCAAATCCTCGTTCACCTGACTCTCCCATTTCCCCTTTTTTGTTCAGATAGTGGAGCAGAAATAGGAGTTGTGAGCAAGCTTGATGCCTGTACCACTACTTTGAAGGCCAGGTAATCCCTGTGAGAGGCAGAGTAGGGCCAGGAAGGGAGAATAAAACACAGAGGAGGACACAGTGAATGCATTGCTAGTGCTTGTTCATTAGGCTCCTGGTCTGTAGCAGTCCATTTTGGCCTTGTTTCACTTACTCTCCATACCAAAGAGATCTCCCTTTGTCTTTTTGCCTCAGCCAGAAGCTACAGATGAAAATCTGGTGGGGTTTTCTTTGTTATTCTGCCACAGAAAACTCATAATTGTCTCTGGAACAAAAGGTCACTCTGTGTCCTTACACCACGCATCCTTTCAGAGTGACTGGTTGCGACAGGCCTATTGTCTCTTCTTGCTTGTGCTGTGCTTTGGTTGCCGGTGAGTAATCTGCACAAGAAATAGGGCTGTGCTTGCCAGGGCTGGGTGAGCCTGGCTGGAGGCCTTTGCCAGCTCTGAGCTCAGACAGTAATCCTGAGAGCTTGACAGTCAGTTCCCCTGGGGTCTGTGCCAGCTTGTCCCAATTTCTGTCTCTACCAGAGGCCCACATAAATATGGGAGGGAGTACTGTAAGTAGCACTCTCCGCTCTCCCCAGTGCCTCCTTGCAGCTTTTGAAAGTGAATTATTGGCAGCTTTGGGTGCTATTTGTAAAATGCTTATCTAGTTTTTGTTTGTTTTTCTATTGAAGACTTGGGAAGCTGTGAAATTTTTTGCTGCCTTTCTACCTATCGAGGAGTTTTATGGGACCACTTCAAGGCTTTTCCTAGTATTTAATTGCTCATCACTTACAGCTGTGCTACTTTTTTTATGTCATGGCTTATTTGCCTTCCTCATGTGCCTCCTTAGCCAGGTGATGTGCTGAGGCTTGGGCAGCAGATGTGGAGTTTCTCTGGCTCCATTGAGAAAGCATGGCAGTGGATCTGCAACGTGGCTGGCCATGATGCTGCAGTCCAGCTCTTTGCAAGTATACAAACCACTGCTATATTACACTTCAGTCAAGATGCACACTTTCATACATAAAAGTATGCAAGCAGGAGTCTCGGGAAAGGACCCATCCAATAGAAGACATCGCATGTAAAGAAAGAAGGTGGCTTTCCTCAGGCTTGGCCTCTCACACTGCCACTTATAGTTAGCTACCTTGGACAGGGAGAAGGGAACACACATTGGTTATGATTTCTGTTCCTGCTGCATTTCAGCCTGGAGCCCTCTCACTGAAGTGAGATTCCTGATTTAGGAGTATAGTTGCTATATATCTCTCCTTCAGGTCGTGGAAGGGTCTCTCCAGAGAGCAATTTGGATTGTAGGTGGCTTGAACTGTTCTTTGGGTTATTCAGAGAAAACACACTAAAGCTTGGTGCTTTACTTTAACACTTGAAGCTGGATGGAAGAAATCTGGACTGTGTAGATGTTGAGGAGACACCAGGCAGACCTGACTCTGGCTTGGAGCTAGAATAAGTAAATTTTGCCCAGAGCCCACCCAGGTCCAGGCATGTGTCTGCTACAGGCTTTTGGGTGATCCCACATTTCTGACTTGTTCCGCAGCCTCTTGGGAAGTGAGTAATGCATGTTGCTGCAGCTCCATGCCAGAGCTGGCCTCCTCCTCCTAGAGCAGACCTCTGTAAGAAAGCCCTGGAATTCCTGATTAAGAGCAAGGAGAGCAGCCCTGTGCTCTGTGTGTATCCAGAGTGCAAGCTCCCCTATGTCAGCATGATACTTGGAAGTGGCCCTGAGGAAATGATGAGACTGAGATAAGGATAAGGATGCAGTGTATCAGCAGAGACAGGCTGGATGCCTGGGTGGCAGATGCACTAACCTCTTTTACGAGGTTTTACAAGGGCCATGTGACTCAAATTTTTTAAGGTCTGCTGGATACATGTTTGTTTCTATCCACCATAAGCCATCAAAACAAGCTGAGCTGTGGTGACACAACTCAGCTATACGTGAATGCCTCTGACATGACAACACAGAGCAGGGAAAAATAAATAAAAGAAACTTTCCAGTTCGTTGGTTGTTCCGCATCCTGCCCCCTCCTTGTCAGAGAGATGATGTCAGAGCAGTTAGGGCGTAACTAGGTCCCAACAAAAGAAAGCCTTTGTGTCAATGCATGCCGATCTTTTCCTGCCCCCTTTCAACCTTCTGCGAGTGTTGGGACCAGCCTTTAGCTATCCCACACTCCACTGTGTGACTCATTCCCCTGGTACGAATGGGTACCCTGTACAGACGTCTGCAGAGATAGTCAGTGTTCAGCCACCGGGGGAGAGTGTGGGGCTGGAGAGTGAAAGCCCGAGATTGTATGTTCAGATTAAAGCCTGGTCTGCAGATAAAACCCAGCTGCCTGTCATTTGCAGCTGCTGAATCCCAGCAGAGGCAAAAGAGGAAGCCCGAGTGTTTGTGTTTGTGTTGGTTTACTCCTCCAAAGGGACTTGGAAATAACTAGCGAAGAAGAGTGCACAGTGGGAGCGTAATCCTCATGCAACGAAAGGCATCCATGCTGTGTAGGTCAGCTTGCTGTGTCCAGGTCTTCATTGTCCTTCTTTGGGCCAAGGAGAGATGGCTTGATGTCCAGTTACATTTGTAGGGAGCTGTTTGCTTCGTCCCTTGGGAACAGCTGTTTCTTAAGGTCGGGGTAAAACAGAAAATGGGAGATATTTTGTTCTGTCCTGGGGACGTCAACTCTTGCAGGGACTTAGCGTGAGGTCCTTGTTGTGGCCAGAACTGGTGTCTCTGCAGCTTTATCTACAGAAAGTAGCAGTCATAGAATAGCCTGGATCTGTAAAGAAACTGTTCGTTGCTCACCAGGAGCAAGTCAGGGGTTGTGTGTCAAGACAAGGGTTCTCCCTGAAAAGCTCTCTGTGACCCTAAGGAGGAAGTGGCCACATCACCCTCTGTCTTCAGGCCTTTCCCAGTCCTTTTGAGGTAGTACACATGTTCCTCCTCATAGGTTTGGCTTCCCTTGCTGTTTGTGTATAGGAATGGTGCTTCCAAACAGTTTTCTGTACTGTATTTGATTCTTGTTGTGGTAAGCAGGGCAGATCCCTTTCCATTTCACTGCTGTTAAGCCCTTTTAAGAAATAATCATGTTCTCCTGTTAGTCTTCTAAAAGCTCTTCTCACTTTGGTTTTGAGATACTGAGCTTTTCCCTCTAAATCCTAGTTCAGCAGAACATACAGTCACAGTCCTGAGTGTCAATTGGTGCTAAAGTCCATCCACTTCAATAGGGCCCTTCAGTCTGTGGCTGAGCCCCACAGAAGTCACTGGGAACATAAATCTATGGTTTATGCTTATACTAAGCAGGTCTGCTAAGTATATATACCATATCCTTGGTGAAATAGGCCCTCTGTTGCTTTATTGAATCATCATTGTAACATACATTGCTCCTTAGTAACTTGGTGAAATGCCCTAAACAATATCAAAACAAGCAAAAGTTTCAAATTTTTTTTATATTGATGCCAGAATCAAATGTTTTCTGTGATACTGAGTGTAGTCATGAGGTTATCCAGCAACCACCTTCTTTTGTCCAGTGATCTTATCTCAGTTGCCTGAACTTGCCATTCTCTACGTCCCTGTGGCTCTGTGAGTTAAACTCACACTTGCTGCTGCTTGTCTTCAGTTATCCTGTGGTTTGTTTGTTTGTTTGTTTTTTAACCTGTGGGATTGTTCTTTTCCTACCCTATTGAAGTCTTAATCCAAGCCCCTGCCTTTGGACACTGCCACAGAAAAGCATTGATGAAGACGGTCATGCATTTTACCAACTAATGAAAAGCTGGCTCCTGGCATCTCCTTACATTCTGTTCTAATGTCCTGCTATTTCCATTATTTTACAGTACTTCATATTGTTGCTGTGCATCTTTCTCCTGGAGATCATTGCTGGAATCCTGGCCTATATCTACTACCAGCAGGTGAGTACACATTAGTCCTTGGAGACTCAAACCAGGGAGAGAAAACAGCTGGTTATCATCCCATTTCTCCAGCCAGAATTGGGCTTGGAGGTTTGGGGCCTAGGGTCTGCTTGTGATTCACCTTGCCACATGCCTGTACTCAGTCCCCTCCCCATACAGAAGACCTTGGATTATTTACTGTTCTTGACAAAGTTGTGGTGGTTGCTCTAGGGAGGCTGCTCAGTCTTACTGCTCGGCTCCTTCCTGTGGTTCACCTTTTGTGCACTGTTTTTCTGCAGAGCCTTGTAGAAGACAGTTTTTGAGGCTGTGTAGATCTAGGAACTCTCCTAATGCCCTTCAAGGCACAGTGCAAGCAACTGAAATCATGTTAGTGCCACTTAGTATATTCAGGACATAGAAACAA